GAGGCTGCAACTGTCACGACTACGATCGGTGCTCCTGTTGAGCCTACTACTATCACGTCCCCTTTCCCGGTCAGCACAGCTGCTGTGACGGATGGGGTTGCTGTCACTACTGCAGCTCCTGTGACTGGCGATGTGATCATCAGCACGGCAGCTGGGGAAGCTCCCGGTAGAGACAAGAATGACTCTGTTGCTACCACCAAGGTCGCTACGGAGGTTGCGACTGTCACGACTACGATCGGTGCTCCTGTTGAGCCTACTACTACTATAACGTCCCCTTTCCCGGTCAGCACAGCTGCTGAGACCTATGAGATTGTTGATACTACTGCAGCTCCTGTGACTGGCGAGGTCACCATCACCACGGCAGCTGGGGAAGCTCCCGGTAGAGACAAGGATGATTCTGATGCTACCACCCCGATCGCTACTGAGACTGCGACTGTGGCTACCACGATCAGTGCTTCTGTTGAGCCTACTACTATTATGACGTCCCCTCTACCGGTCAGTACACCCGCTGTGACCGATGAGGTCGCTGTCACTACTGCGGCTCCTGTGACTGGCGAGGTGACTATCACCACGGCCGCTGGGGAAGCTCCGGGAAGAGACAAGGATGATTCTGATGCTACCACCCCGGTCGCTACTGAGACTGCGACTGCCACTAGGATCGATGCTCCTGTTGAGCCTACTACTACTATCACGACCCCTCAACCGGCCAGCACAGCTGCTGTGACCGATGAGGTTGTTGCTACTACTGCAGCCCCTGTGACTGACGAGGTCACCATCACGACGGCAGCCGGGGAAGCTCCCAGTAGAGACAAGGATGATTCTGATGCCACCAACCCGTTTGCGACTGAGACTGCGGCTGTCACTACTACGATCGATGCTCCTGTTGAGCCTACTACTCCCACGTCCCCTCTACCGGTCAGCACAGCTGCTGTGACCGATGAGGTTGTTGCTACTACTGTGGACACGACCGATTCCGAGACTACTCTCAGGCCGATTGTGTAGCCGATTTAGGGTAATGAAGGTTTGTAATGCCCGGTGAGCGCATTTAATACAATCCGGGCCACTGCATGATGTCTTGATAATGAGTGTATAAGTGTTCATCTGTCCAAGTTGTGTTGGAAACGTTGCGTCGTAACATCATGAAAGCATCGACGCTATACCCCAATACGAAACCTATTGACAGTGCATCAGAGATATCTGAGTGGTTCCGAGATTGATGAGCGAGGGCGGGCAAGCCGCACCACAATGATCCTCTTACCAACTAGCATGAGCCCAT